CGGATTCCGAGCTCGAGCCGCCCCCCGAGCGGGCCTAGAAGAGGAGGGCTGAGGCGTCGGAGTCGCAGGGGTGTGAAGCAGAGTCCCAGCTGCTGCGGGCTCGTCAGTGTGTCCGACTCGACAGTGCTAGTACAGCCCCGCCGGGGGGGGGGGGGGTGCCAAATCTCTCTCGGCTATCTCTCGGCTGTCTCTCGGCTATCCCTCGGCTCTCCCGCGGCTCTCTCTCGGCTCTCCCTCGGCTCTCCCTCGGCTCTCCCTCGGCTCTCCCTCGGCTCTCCCTCGGCTCTCCCTCGGCTCTCCCTCGGCTCTCCCTCGGCTCTCTCTCTCGGCTCTCTCTCGCAGGCCTGGCGTGTGTGAGACGGCGCCCGGCGTACACGCAGCGGCGAGGTGCCCGTGATGCAGCCGCCGCCTCCGTAGCCGCCGCCGTAGCCGCCGCCGCCGCAGCGCGGTCGGTCCTTGCCCCCCCTCGCCGCGCCTCTAGCCAGATGGTGGTCCGGCGCCTCGGACGACAAAGACACGTCGTCCGCCTGAGGTCCAGGTCACCACGCTGGCGCTCGACGGCGAGCGAACGGCCCGGCAGCGGCTCGACGGCGAGAACGGCCTCTGGCATCGCCCGATCTGGTTGGCATCGTAAGCGATCGCGCGGGTGCCGGGTACGTCGCGATTAACGGCTCGCTGCACGTCTCGGTGGCCGGGCGCATGCGCCGCGTAGCAACCCTGGAAGGCGTCGATCCGGAAAGTGACATCTTCCACAGCATCGCCGTCAGCCCCGACGGCGGCGCGCTGGTTGTGGCAGGTGGCAACAAGCTCCGACTGGTGGAGATGGACACTGGTGAGTTGACATCGCTCGCGGGCAGCGGCGAGGCTGGCGACGCCGATGGCGTGCGCGGCGCGGCGCAGTTCCACAACCCAACCGGCGTCGCCATCAGCCCGGACGGCAGCGCGCTGTTCGTAGCGGACAATCGGAGCCACAAGATCCGGCGGGTGGAGGTGGCGACGGGCGCTGTCGCCACGCTCGCGGGCAGCGGCGACGCAGACGACGCGGACGGCGTGGGCGATGCGGCGCACTTCAGCTACCCATCTGCCGTCGCCATCAGCCCAGACGGCGGCGCGCTGTTTGTGACGGACAGCGGCAACCACAAGATCCGGCGGGTTGAGGTGGCGACGGGCTCGGTGACGACAGTCGCGGGCAGTGGCGACGAAGGCGACGCGGATGGCGTGGGCGATGCGGCGCACTTCTGCAACCCGATTGGAATCGCCAACAGCCTGGACGGCAGCGCTCTGTTTGTAGCCGACAATGAGAACCACAAGATCTCCGGCGGGTTGAGGTGGCGACGGGCGCTGTGACGACGCTCGCGGGCAGCGGCGAGGGTGGCAACGCTGATGGCGTGGGCGATGCGGCGACCTTCGATCAACCAGTCGAGGTCATCAGCGCCGACGGCAGCACTCTCTTGGTCAGCTCAGTCGGTGACCTCCGCCAGGTCTGCGTGATGGCGTCTCCTTCGCCTCCCTCCTTCGCCCCCATCGTGGTGCCGCCCTCCACCATCCTGGCTGACTTTGCAAAGACGCGCGGTGACGCGACCCTGCCCACCGGCCTGGTCACCTTCCTGGTCGGCGACGACCGGGAGCGCCTCGAGCACGTCAGCAAGTCCCTGCTCTGCGCCCGGTCCGTGTTCTTTCGGACCATGTTCGGCATCGGCATGAAGGAGCGCGACACCGCCGAGGTCACGGTGCCCAACACGGACCTCGCAACCTTCACTGCCCTCATCGACTACCTCCTCTCCGACAAGTTCGACCTCGGCGAGGAGGAGGGCAGGGCGCAGCGCGCGCTCGACCTGCGGGAGCTGGCGCAGATGTATCAGGTGCCGCGCCTCGAGCTGCTCTGCGCGCAGGCGCTGCAGGAGAGCGTCGGGCCGGCGACCGCCGTGCCGCTGCTCGAGGCGGCGCACACGATGGGCGACGGGCGGCTCCTCGCGCAGTGCCGCCGCTACGTGGCCGACCACGCCGCCGAGGTGCGCGCGAGCGGCGGCGTGCTGCGCGACTTTGGCGTGGCCAAGGGGCTGCTCGGCGACGCGCTCGACCAGGTGGCGGAGCTCAAGGAGACGGTGGCGGAGCTCAAGGGGGCGGTGGCGACGCGCGAGGCGGAGATTTGCGTGAATGCCGCCGTTGAGCCCTTGAGACGCTTGACCCTTGACGGATGCGCCGGGCCCGGGCGGGGCTGGGAAGCTAGCTCTCATGTCACATATGTGATAGTTTTGTCATATGTGTGCGGCACCTGAGGTGTCATACATCAGCACATACGACACCTCGCAGCCACATGTAAAATAATACGATTACGGACTCACATCGTGTTTTGCGGCACTTCTAAGGAGCCGCGGGACTGGCTAGACCGCGAAACAGCAGCGCAAACCGCCGCGCGAGCGTTCTGACTCCTGTGCTCACCCTCACCCTCCACGTCTATCTCGCTACCCGACACACACGCGCAAACTCTCATACCTCCTCCCTCTCGCGGGCTGCACACTCCACAAGAGCTGCACAGCAGCCTGCAAGCGTTGGAAAGGGGGAAGGGGACTCAACCTACAGCGCCTCCTCCTCCGAAGCATCACCGCCCCCTCCACGCTTCTTGCCGCCGCCGCCGCCGCCTCGCTTCTTGCCGCCGCGCCCGCCCCCCTTGCCTCCTCCGCCGCCGCCGCCGCCACCACCGCCTCCGCCGCCCCCTCCTCCACCGCCGCCGCCGCCCTCATCCTCGTCACCGTCGCCCCCCTCGTCCTCTTCGTCGCTCGGCGTAGGTGGCGCCACCGCCGTCGCCGGAGGCGCCGCCGCGCCCGCCGCCGCCGCGCCCGCCGCCGCCGCAGCGCCGACAGGCTGGCTGTCGGCCCGGGCGGCGGAGGTTGGCAGAGGAGTCGAGAACTCGTTGCGCGTGCCGTTGTCGCCGCCCGCGTTGCCGCCGCGCCTTCCGCCGCGTTTTCCCTGACGCGGCGAGCCGCGCGCGCCTGTTAAAAGGGCGCCCCGCGCCTGTCACGCCGGGCAGCTCTCGGGCATCTCTTCGGG